TCCATGGATTTGTATGAAACTGATCGAAACGTAGAGAAAAAACCGCTCATGGTTACGCGTATTAATCACCTGTGAAGTGTGTTCATCCGGTTTGATAATTTCATGAATTTGATGCTATCGAGATGCTATCGAGTATAAAAAGAGTTTATTAAACATTTCAGAATGAAATTACACCAGGAAAAAGTGATAGATTCGGCCTGTTTTGAGAGATGTATTTGAAAAATAGGACTTCACACTATAAATATCAGAAATGAAATGACATCTACCATACTAGGGAAAATATGTCTCACAACTTCTTTTAGGTTAGTATCTACTGCCTAAAATTATCCACTACCCGTTGTGACCTGCTTTTTCAGATCGTTTTCATCATTTAAAATATTAGCAAATAGCAAACGTCTTTTCTGATTCAAAACGAAAATAGTTAAGGAAAGATGATACAAACAAACTTTTTCAAGAATTTTAAAAATAACAACTTAGGTTATGTTCAGATGAGTAAAATGAATAACTTTAATCGCATAGATTTTCATTTTTTTTATTCAAAGTTTCACAATAATTGGATTTAAAGTGACGAAAAGTTGTATAGATTAATAAGGAAGGTTGCAGAAAGGTAGAATTTTGAACATCATTGTAGTGGAACGAGTTATCTATTTTTGTAATTCTACATACTGAGTTAGAGTTATCGTTCGTTGTGTGGAAATGGCGCAAAGAATGCACGCTTGTTTTTGTTCCAACATGTGATTGAGCACACTGCGTCGGAGAAAGTTGGTCAAGCACCTTGTTGTAAGTGTATAATCATGTTACTTATTGTTTGCTAAAGTTACGCATATTGATATGAGATGCCTACGCAAAGTTGATTATTTTAAAGCCTGTATTCGTAGTCATTTCGAATTTCCTCAGCCTTTGTTTTGGTATTTTCTGTAGTTTGTAACTCTGAGCCTCGCCACATAAATCAATTATTGAGTCTGTGTGTGTTAGTGTATGTGTGAATGCTAGTGCTTATTAGCGTTTCTTGTTTGTTGTAGTTCTTACGGCGATCTTATTGATGAAAATAAAGTCCGTTAACTAGCTGCCGAGTTTTGTGGTCATTACGGGGGCAGTACAGTAAGAAAACAAGTCGACGGTTTCAAGATGCAGAATCTCGAAGATGTCCAAAAGGAAGGAACAGTCAGTCCTACCACAGGAAAGAGAACACGGGTACTCACAGAGAGAGGACAGGAAAACCACACAACACAAGTAAGGAAGTTCGAGAGAACTTTAAAGGAAGTGAAATACATGATAGAAGAAGAAACATTAATATTTCAAGAGGTAGAAGACAAGAGTGATGTGATTACTCTTCACCAGTGCCTAAGGAGAACTGAGTCAGCCTTATCAAGATACTCAAAGATTTCGCAGGACTTCATAGACTATCTTGACAGAACGAACACTGAGGAGACACTAACACAAGCATCAACAGAACGTTTCATTAGAGAAACCGTGATTACAAGAACTGAAATCCTATTGCAGCATATTCAGGAAACAATATCGAAGACTAAACGACTGCACCCTCCAACACCTGAAAACCCAGAATTTGCTATCTCACAACTAGAAACCATACCAAGTGTAAAACCCAAAATTGAACCCCAGTCAACGATGACGGATCCTGAATCGCACTTAGTGACGACATCTAAGGTTAAGGCTCCAGGATCAGCAGCAAAGTCTTTACGTTCCAAACGCAGCTCAAGCATTTTCAGTTCTTTGTCATCTTCTGGCTTGATAATGCAACAAAAGGCAAAGGCTGAGGCAGCAAAGGCCAAACTCAAATTTGTCAACCAAGAAGCGAACTTACAAAGGGAGCTCCTGGTTCTCACGGCCCAGAAAGAAGCAGCTATAGCTGAAGCAGAACTGAATGCCATGCTTGAAGAGGTTGAAGGATCCAGCGTTGAAGATCTGAGTGAAATTCAACTAGAGAGAACAAAGAACTTTATCAACGAACAGAATCATGCACTTCGTTCAAGTGAGCATACTCCAAGCCAAAATACACCTGCTATGCCAGAACACATTGAATCGCTTGAGCCTCAGCAAGGCCAAGTTGACATGAAAGGGCCTCTACCAGGCCAGTTTAGTTTCGCTAGTATGCCTATCCCAGGTCATGTTGACATCTCGCCTCCTCCTCCAGAACAAGGATTTAAACTGTATAAATCTACTCCAATGAATCCTCATGCACCTTCTTTCATGCCAGAACTGCCACCATCTAGACTCATCCACGAACCTGCACAGAGCAATTATCAAAATCATGGGATGGCCAGTGAATTAACCAAGTTTTTGTTGAAAAAAGATCTACTTACGTCCAGATTCTCCAACTTCAATGACCGACCTGAAAATTATTCTCTCTGGAAAACCTCCTTCAAAGCTGTGACTTCTGAGTTAGAAGCTACCCCTCTGGAAGAGTCAGATCTACTAGTTAAGTGGTTAGGACCGGAGTCGTCCAAATTTGCACAAAGCATAAGAATATCAAACATAGGGGATCCTAGGAGGGCATTAGCGAAAATATGGGAGAGATTAGAAGAGAGGTATGGGGCTGCCGAGATGGTAGAGATGTCATTAAAGACTAAGGTTGGTAACTTTCCTAAAATAACAGTAAAGGATAGCAAGAAGTTATATGATCTCTATGATGTGCTGATGGAAATAGAAGCAGTGAAGCAAGATCCAAAATACAAACAACTTCTGAGTTATTATGATTCGTCAGCTGGTATCATCCCAATAGTACACAAATTACCTGCCCATCTACAAGGAAAGTGGAGCGACAGGGCAACGAAATATAAGAGGGCACACGATGTAGGGTTTCCACCATTCAATGTGTTTTGTGATTTCATCAAAGATATGAGTTTGATGTTAAATGATCCAGGCCTTACATTTTGTACGGAGAGTTCTAGTTCGTCAAGAACAACCAGACCACTCACTGAAATCCGCAAACAGTCTACAGTGTACATCAGGAAAACAGAAGTGCAGGGAGATTTGGAACAAGGGCGATTACTGAAGTGTCCCATTCATCATTCCAACCATTCTTTGAACAAATGTAGAGAATTCCTCAAAAAACCATTCAGAGACAGAAAGAAGATCATACGTGACAAGAACATCTGTTTCAAATGTTGTCTGACCACAACTCATACAGCAAAGGACTGCCAAGCCTCTGTTCGCTGCGAAGACTGTGGAAGTCAGCGTCATGCAACAGCACTTCATATGGTTGAGAGCAACAAAGGAAGTCAAGTGCCGAGTACAGCAGTCAAAGAGTCTTTACATGTCACACCCGAGAAAGAGCATGGCGGGGAGCCTGCCAATGATCTTGTCTCCAAATGCACCCAGCTGTGTGGTCAGAACTTTAATGGACGATCCTGCGCTAAGACTGTGTTAGTACAAATCTTTCCAAAAGGACATCCTAACAAGGCAGTGAAAGTATATGCCATCCTAGATGACCAAAGCAACAAGACTCTTGGTACTTCAGCTCTTTTTGATACGCTGGGTGTTGCTGATGACAAGTTCGAATACTCGCTGTCTTCCTGTGCTGGAAAGGTTCTGTTGTCGGCACGACGAGCTAATGATCTCTGTATCCAGCCTTGTGATGGTGGAGAGACATTTGATTTGCCGCCAGTGATCGAGTGTGACAATATGCCCAATGATCGATCAGAAATCCCAACACCAGAAATAGCCAGATATTATGAGCATCTGCATCATATTGCATGCCATATACCAGAACTGGATCAGTCAGCAGAAATTAGCCTCCTTGTTGGTCGAGATCTGCCCGAGGTTCATCATGTAAAGAGTCAGGCAATTGGCCCCAGGCAAACACCATTCGCACAAGAATTACCTTTGGGATGGGTGATAATTGGTGAAGTGTGCCTTGGACGATTTCATTCATCCAGAACCATCCAAGTGTCCAAAACATTTCTGTCTAAGGATAGAAGACAAACTATTCTACAACCTTGTGAAAACACACTGAATATCAAGGAATTCCATGGCGGTGTGTCCAAAGAGCATTTTGGTACAAATAGCGGTATATTTGTCAAAACCAAGGATGATGACAAGTTAGGCTTGTCTGTAGATGATAGAGAGTTCTTGACATTCATGGACAAATCCTTCAAGAAGAACAGCAATGGTCATTGGACAGCGCCCTTACCATTCAAGGAGCAACGACCTGTCTTACCTAACAACAAAGTCCTAGCCTTGAAACGAGCCCATTCCTTGGATGTTAGCCTGAAGAAGAATCCCACTAAGCGAGACCATATGGTTACCTTCATGAAAGGCGTTATAGATAGAGGAGCAGCAGAAGTCGCACCACCGATTTCAGAAGGCAGAGAATGCTGGTATCTGCCCTTATTTGGGGTATATCACCCCAGAAAACCTGATAAAATTCGAGGCGTTTTTGACTCTTCAGTGGTGTACCAAGGAATGTCACTCAATAGCGTCTTGTTGACAGGCCCTAACTTAACGAATAGTCTGCTTGGAGTCTTGCTGCGTTTCCGCAGAGATCAGACAGCAGTGATAGCCGATATAGAACAAATGTTCTATTCATTCTATGTAAATGAAGAGCACCGCGATCTCCTGAGATTCTTATGGTATCGCAACAACAACCCAGAGGATGAGCTGATAGACTACCGCATGCGAGTGCATGTGTTCGGCAACACTCCATCACCAGCTGTAGCTACGTATGGATTACGTAAGGCTGTTAAAAACAGTGATAAAGATGTTAGGGATTTTGTTGAAAGGAACTTCTATGTTGATGATGGGCTGGTTTCTGTTCCAACCACAGAGGAAGCTATTGAACTAGTGAAGAAAACACAACAAGTATTGAAGGACCAAGGGAGCATTAGATTACACAAAATCGCATCTAATAGTGTAACAGTTGAATGCATTTCCCACTCAGGACTTGGAGAAGAGCTTATCCCAAGTCAACATTGGATCGGATGCGTTACCAGCACAGCAAAGCCTCGGCCTGTCATGGGATCTCAACTCGGACACCTTTACCTTTAACAACCAATTAGAAGATAAACCATTCACCCAAAGAGGACTCCTTTCTACCCTAAATAGTTTATTCGACCCGATGGGTTTCATAGCACCCCTAGTCATCACAGGGAGAATTTTGGCCAGGAACATTTGCAGTACAAACGCTGCATGGGACGATGACTTACCTGATACTTACCGGCAGGAGTGGGAGAATTGGAAACAATCTCTGCATGGCCTTAGTCACTTTAGTATCCCTCGGATGTTCATGCTCGATTCTCTCAGCAAGGCAGACAAACCTGAGATACATATCTATTCAGATGCCTCTGAGAAGGCAATAGCAGCGGTTGCCTTTGTTAAGGATTCTGAAAGTGGAAAATATGGCTTCATCTTAGGTAAAGCAAAGCTTGCACCTCAACTTGGACACACAATACCGCGCCTTGAGTTATGTGCCGCAGTCCTGGCAACAGAGATAGGAGACATCATTGGACAGAACTTAGATGTTCCAATGGAGAACATAAATTACTTCACAGACAGTAAAGTTGTTTTAGGGTACTTGAACAACAATACCAGGCGTTTCTATACCTATGTAAGCAATAGAGTCGCAATCATTCATGGGCGCTCTCAGCCCCAACAGTGGAAGTACATCTCAACTTCTCGGAACCCTGCTGATGTTGGGACAAGAGGCGTCTCCTGCGTTAAGGAACTAGCGGAAGGTATTTGGATTCGAGGACCTCCTCTTAGCGAAAATGATGACGACCATCAATGCGCAAGGTCAGATACTTACCAGCTTTTTGATCCAGACAACGATTGTGAAGTAAGACCATGTGTCAAAACCACAAAGACTTCCACAGAGGAGTTACCAAGTCAGATATTATCTAAGTTTGAAAAATTCTCCAGCTGGCAGAGGTTAGTAATTGCTGTCACTGTGTTAAAGAGAGCAGGAAGGATCTTCAAGGAGAAAATCAGACTTTCCTCAAAGAAAATGTGGGAGCAATCGAGAGATTTTATCATTACAGTGGTTCAGAGAGATGCATACTCAATGGAAATGCAGTGTCTACAACATCACAGACCACTACCCAAAGGAAGTCCTCTTATGCACCTTAACCCATATCTGGATAATTCTGGGTTATTGCGAGTCGGTGGACGACTCAACCAAAGCGACCTTCCAGAGGGAACGAAAAATCCAGTTCTACTCCCAAAGAAATCCTTTTTGTCAAGGCTTCTGGTCTCACATTATCACGAAGAGGTTAAACACCAGGGGAGGCTGTTCACAGAGGCAGCCATTAGAAGTAATGGCTACTGGATCACGGGAGCCAAACGACTGGTTTCCTCAGTCATCAACCACTGCATTACATGCAGACGACTGCGTGGAAAATTCCAAGAACAGATAATGAGCAACCTTCCTCTGGAACGCACTTCCACGGGACCACCATTTTCCATTGTCGGTGTTGATACATTCGGACCATGGGAGGTAGTAGCTCGTAAGACGAGAGGTGGTCTTGCTCATAGTAAAAGATGGGCCATCCTGTTCACCTGCATGGCTATACGAGCAGTGCACATTGAGCTCGTAGAGGAGATAACCAGCTCCGCCTTTATAAACGCTTTACGCCGTTTTGTGTGTATACGAGGATCTGTAAAGGAATTCTGTTCCGACCGTGGAACTAACTTTGTTGGAGCTTTAGACGCTCTGAGAGTGGATGGTGTGTTTGTAGAACAAGGACCAGTACAGGATTTTCTTCATAAGTCAGGAATAATCTGGAAGTTCAACCCTCCTCATGCTTCACATATAGGGGGTTCTTGGGAAAGGATGATAGGTATGGCCCGCAAGATCCTGGACACAATGCTTTTTCAACACAAGGGCCAACTTACCCATGAAATCCTTCACACATTCATGTACGAAGTGTCAGCCATAATAAACTCTCGGCCAGTGACTCCAATTTCAACTGATCCCGACAATCCAATCATCATCAGTCCAGTCATGCTGCTGACTCAAAAAACCGGTTTGACCCTGTACCTGATTTGGACGATGACGTAAAGAACCTTTACAAGACAGGGTGGAAACGTGTTTGTATGTTGTCCAACATGTTCTGGAAACGATGGAAGGGAGAATACCTGAGTGGTCTCCAAACTCGCAGAAAGTGGAACCAACAACGAGAAAATTTGAAACCAGGAGATGTAGTTCTAGTACGTGATTCCACAACTTGTCGAAATCAGTGGCCCTTGGCTCTAATCCTTCAGGTCTTTCCTTCCAAGGGTGATGGTAATGTTCGCACAGTGGAAATTCGCATGTCCAAGGATGGGAAACCGACAACTCTAGTACGTCCTATATCCGAACTCATTAGCTTAGTGAATTGACTGTGTATCTAGTCTACAACTTACAATTCTAGTCAGTTGTCATTTACTATTTTTTACATTTTGTTCCTAGTCTAGAGATGATAGTGTATTTGTATTCTAGTCATTTCATTGTTAGTATGTAATCTGGTTGTTTTGTCAAACTGGAATGAGTCGCGCGTGCAAGTTGTCTGTATATGACCTTTTACACTAGTTCTGTGTGATTGCACAATGACTGATTTACTTGTGAATTTGTGTGAAAATGGAGATATTTTACAATATCTGGCGAGGAGTGTAGTGGAACGAGTTATCTATTTTTGTAATTCTACATCCTGAGTTAGAGTTATCGTTCGTTGTGTGGAAATGGCGCAAAGAATGCACGCTTGTTTTTGTTCCAACATGTGATTGAGCACACTGCGTCGGAGAAAGTTGGTCAAGCACCTTGTTGTAAGTGTATAATCATGTTACTTATTGTTTGCTAAAGTTACGCATATTGATATGAGATGCCTACGCAAAGTTGATTATTTTAAAGCCTGTATTCGTAGTCATTTCGAATTTCCTCAGCCTTTGTTTTGGTATTTTCTGTAGTTTGTAACTCTGAGCCTCGCCACATAAATCAATTATTGAGTCTGTGTGTGTTAGTGTATGTGTGAATGCTAGTGCTTATTAGCGTTTCTTGTTTGTTGTAGTTCTTACGGCGATCTTATTGATGAAAATAAAGTCCGTTAACTAGCTGCCGAGTTTTGTGGTCATTACGGGGGCAGTACAATCATAGGAAGTTTACAATTTCTTAATATTTTAGAAATTTATTATTCGCATCATTTACAACCAAAATAGGTCCAAATATATATACCAATCCAGGCATCCATTTTTTTTTTTTTTTTTTTTTTTTTTTTTTTTTGGTACATGTATCATCTGCCCTTAATCAATATATTAAGGACATATAAGACATGTACAAACAAAAAAATCAGACATGTTATTGTGAACCCCAAATAAAATGCTTTAATGTAGATAACAGAGTCTTTCGAGCTTATGTGACAAAATCCTTTATAACTGATTCAGTGCATTATATTTTTATACAATAAATGTATTTTCATTGAATCGTTACAAGCTAAAAGTGAAGAACTTTTCTGTCCTACGACATTAGACCATGACAGTTTATCGCCAATTCGTTGTCTTGCCAGTATCAGTTGTGACACAAAAGGGACTGTTCTAGTATATCACTTAATTTGTTCGTGAATTACACATTTCACACAGTTGTCTGACAAAGGACAGTGATCAGTGCCTAATTCCAGGTGAGACCCTTTGAAAGTGGAACTCAGGGTATGGGAAATAAAAAAAAAATCATCTCCATATTACATCAAGTTTACAGGAGTTGGAAAGTGATGTTATTAGTCCCCTACCAGTGAAACCGGAGGAGACTATATGTTTCCTTTAAGTCTTTCCGTCCGTCTGTCTAGCTATCCGTCTGTCTGTCTGTCAGTCTGTCCCACTTGATATTCCGCACATTTTCTAAACACTTGCAGATATTGAGCTGATTTCTGGTATATGAGTGTATCTTGATGAGTTGCAGATCAAGTTTGCTTTTGGTTCCACTTTAATGATTTTTGACATAATTACGACCTTTCAATTTTTCAGGGTTTTCCGCATTTTTTTTTCTAAACGCTTGCAGAAATTGAGCTGATTTTTGGTATGTGACTTTACCTTGATGAATTATAGATCAAGTTTTCATTTCGTTCCACTTCATTGATTTTGGACGGAATTATGGCATTTTCAATTTTTAACGGAAACCAGATTACACTTGCCGGTAGGGGACTAGTATTGCTAATGCAATATTCTCACAATGCTTGTTTATATAACATCATGTATAAATAATAATTGATCTGAGGTTGTTGAATTCAGACATGTTTCGATCTATTCTTTTTAGAAATAATGAATTAAACATGGCATTGAAATTAAAGTTTCGTGTCGTATCATATTAAATTTAAAGATGTTTACAAGTTACAGGTAAGCCGTTTTCAAAGGGTAGAACGCAGATTCTTTCTGTAGTTGCTCTCGGTCTTCCAGTTCTTCATGGGCCGTTCAGAATATATTTTGTAAAAAACAGATTTGAGGATTGAAAAAAAAGATAACTGCACTTCATTTTCTCGTGTAATCAATGAGTAATATGCTCATTTATAGATATACAGATTAACAACTTCCCAAAAATAAAATTAAAAGAAAATTATTCTGCATATTTTAGTCCACTGTTTTCCATCTAAGGTTCTGTCATTGTACTATTATTTATTATGATTATTTATAATCATTCCTATTCCTAATTATTATTATCATCATCATCATCATCATCATTATTATTAAGGTCTTCCGTCTTCAGCGGAAGACCTTCTTGTTATTCTTCGGTTTCTTTTCCACTGTTTTTCTTATTAAGGTCTTCCGTCTTCACGGAAGACCTTATAGTGATTCTACTGTTTCTTATTAAGGTCTTCCGTCTCCACGGAAGACCTTATAGTGATTCTATTGTTTCTTATTATTATTATTATTATTCTTTTTTTTTTAGACAAAATTTTGTGCACGCGATTTCTCGAAAACTATTCAATGAATTTCTTTGAAATTTTCAGGGATGAAAGGTCTTTATATGAATTTTATATAAAATTCCGTTTTTTGGTAAATTCGGTTCCAGTGCCAAGTTATGGACAATTTCCTGATTTTAAAATGCAATTTTGTCCTTGAGTGTTCTCAAGAATGGCTCAAGATATGAACTGGAGACTTGTTAGAGATGATAGAACATGATTTCTAGATTGGAGAGGGCACCTTTTCGTTCGTCGTCAGCACTTCCGGTCGCTTACGGAAGTGATCAAAGAAATCGTTAAATTTCAACTTTCTTTTTTTTATCAATACTTACATCACATTATTGCATCACTTTTGTAGTTCTGAAATATGTTCGTCCCACCGGAAACAAAAACGTCAACTTCCGGTTATAAGAGAAAAACTACATAATTTGAGTATTTTTCTTTCCCATTAATATCTTTTGTAGATAAAGTATTTGGAATGATTTTTAAATATGTTATTCAGACATCAAATGTCTAGAGTAAGCTTAAATATCTTTCAAAAATTCACTTCCGGTCGCGTGTTTTTCTGTCCTCAAAATGAGAAGTTGTCTGAGCAAGATCTCGGAAACGGTAAGGGATTAAGACACCAGACTTATATGAGCAACAGACCTTAAGATGTAGCCAAAACCATTTGGGTTCAGAGCGTCAGCCGTCACTTCCGGTCGTCACAGGAAGTGATCAAAGAAATCCAAAATTTCAACTTTTCTTTTTTTTATTTAAGAATTGTATCACTTTATTGCATCTTTTTTGCAGATTCGAAAGATGTTGGTCCCACCGGAAACAAAAACGACAACTTCCGGTTATAAGAGAAAAACTACAAAATTTCGTATTTTACTTTCCTATAAATATTCTTTATAGATAATGTATTTGAAATGAATTTTAAATATGTTATTCAGACTGCAAAGGTCTAGAGTAACCTCAAATATCTTTCAAAAATTCACTTCCGGTCGCGTGTTTTTCTGTCCTCTAAATGAGAAATTGTCTGAGCGAGATCTCAAAAACAGGTAAAAGATTAAAACACCAGACTTAATGAGCAGCAGACCTTGAGGAGTATGCAAAACCATTTTGGTTAAGCGCGTCCGTCGTAACTTCCGGTCGTCACAGGAAGTGATCAAAGAAATAAAAAAATTAAACTTTTCTTTTTAAAATTAAAGTTTGCATCACTTTATTGCATCTCTTTCGCTGTTTTGAAATATGTTAGTTTCTACTGGAAACAAAAACGTCAACTTCCGATTTTAGGTGATAAACTACGTTATTTCGATATTTAACTTTCTCATAAATATTGCTTATCGATAAAGTACTTGAAATGTTTTTATGCATTTTGTAGATACTGCAAATGTATAGAGAAACGTCACTTCCGTAAACGTTACTTCCGGTCGTGACAGGAAGTGATGCAAAAAAGTGAATGGTTAATGGTTAGCACGTTGGATTTTCACGCTGACAACCAGGGTTAAATCTCCAGAGTGTCTAAATTCCTTTTATCACCTTTTCAGCTTGAATTTACATTTTTATTTTCAAAATCGGACGGAAGACCTCTCATTGCTCGCAATGAGTTTCTAGTTATTATTATTATTATTATTATTTTTCATTTTTATTTTTCTGACCTTTTCAAATCGCGATATCTCAAAAACTATTCAATCATTTTCAACCAAATTTTCAGGAATGATGTGTTATCTCATGCCATTTTGAAATATTGAAAAAGTTTGGAAAAATTCACTTCCGGTCAGGAATTATTACGATTTTTCACTTTTTCCACTAAAAATCTAGTCCGTGAATGTTCTCGGAAACTGTTCAAGGTAGGAGTCTGAAACTTTCAGGTATGATAGAAGGTGATTTGTAGATGTGTGATGGAAACATTTCGTGTGTCGTCGCCACTTCCGGTCGTCACAGGAAGTGATTTAAAAAGGGTAGTTTTTTGAACTTTTTTGTTTTTCATTATTTTTTTATGATATTTATAGGATAAATAGAGAATCTTATCAGAATGCTAAATATGTAATTTATTCAAAAATGGAATAACCCGTACTCTAGATATTTATTGCTTGCTACTTTGATACGATGGTCTTTGATAGCGTAATGGTAAGCATGTTGATTTTCACGCGGGCAACTCATATTCAGTCCCCAGAATGTCCAAATTTTTTCACACTATTGTTTGGGCTCAAATGTAATATTTTATTCATATTTAAAGGGGGGGGGGGGGCTATGTCGTTCAACGTCAGAGCAATGGTGTTTGACTTCATAATGGCACTGTGTCTTTTTACTCCTTCATAAAGAGTTTGCAGTTAAATTTTGCACTATCTATTCAATCCCCAAAATGTCCGATTTTTTTCACACTGTTGTTTGGGCTCAAATGTAATATTTTATCTTTAAAGGGGGGGGGGGGGGGAGGCTATGTCATCAACGTCAGAGCAATGGTGTTTGACTTCACAATGGTACTTTGTCTTTTTACTTCTTCATAAAGAGTTTGCAGTTGAATTTTGCACTAATTAATGTGCATATGTGTGTGATATGACAAAATAAGGTAAAAATGTTAATGTAGCTAGCTAGGTACCTATGAAATTGAATCACAAATCGGAGATTTGTCAAATTATACTTTGAAAGTAGAATTTATTATTTTCTCATCTTCATTGAATAAAAACAGCAATTTCAAATGAGAGGGAATTTCAATGACATTTAGTTTAGAGCAAGATCCGCCATAATTAAGAGCTCAAAGCGACTTTGCGGATAAAGGTATGGTTAATTAATGGTATACAGTGTATTAACACAATGAAACACATAAAAATCTGTATACTTGAAACAGTATGTGAAAAAATATGCTTTCACGTGAAGTGTCAATCATTTTGTTATGTGTGTGTGGTGCTGACCCAGGGAGGGGGGGGGGGGAACCTGAAATGCATGAAATCGGGTAAAATAAAACAAAATATTGTAGATACATGTAGATCTTAAATTAAAAAAAATATTTAACATAATTTTATATTTTGTACAATTAAGTGTGAGAATCTCAAAAATTTTAAAAAAAAATTCACACAAAGATGTTTTGGAACATAGGTCCTTCCCCCTCCTAAAATGATATCTCGTATTTTTTTTTTGTTCCAGTTTTGCAATATTTTCAAAATATAAACGTTTAATTATATTTTATGTATGATTGATTGATTGATTGATTGAT